AGCACCTCTCAAATATAATTCTATTGTGTTACCTCCATATCAGCCTGTCTGGTGACCTAACAGTTAACAGCTCCAAACTATCAGAAACTGCTTTTGTTGTTCATGATAGTTACATACATTTAACTTCTGTAGTTTTTTAAACACCCATGTCATTTTTGTGACCTTTATAATGCGATGCATATGGGGCACACCTTGCATGTAACAGCAAAATTAACAATTTTCCTGCAGTTTCCTCTAGGAACATCTTTATTGTTAACAATTTTCTCTGTGATGGACTGTAGAAAACAGAACATTGCAGACAAATGGACAGCTTGACATTTGGCTATTGCATATATTGACTGTTATACTCGCTGTAGAATAACTCTAAGGAATTTTGTCTCACTAAAATTATAGATATCATGTTTCTTGTGATTGTTGTACTCTGACTTGCTTATTGTGTTTACTTGTTCACTGACTTGTTCAACAACCTGTGCAACCAGGATCTATGGAATGCATATAATATACCCACCCTCTGTATCCATCAGTCTGAATTATAAAGCATAACGCATAAATATTTAAATATTTATCAGGGAGTTCTGAAACATACCATTAAGGAATTGGAATGAACAGCATAAAATATTTTAAGAAATGTATTCAGTTAATCATTACTTGATGACTTATTATTGCTGCTTCTTCTACCAACATTAGCCAATATCACAAAATACCCCAGTAATGAGCACCACAAAGGTAACAAGAGATTCCTTCATAACAAATTAGCTTGATAGATAAATAATCATCTGAAGACTAAGGAAATGGTGGAGGGAAGAAGTATGGTAAGTTACACAATAAAGTATGAAAAGAACACATACAGGAAGACAAGGAAAATGCAGGACACTTGCCATAATATGCTTCTAAAAAGAACAGTGAATGATAGTGACGATAATGCACTTTCTTAGAGCCTGTGCAGAAACATTTTTAATACCAGCTTCACCCAAATCAGTCCAAGCCTGATGCTGGCAAGACAATCCACTCATTTTGCATGCATAAGTTGAATCCTTGAATCCACACACACACAGAGGGAGGATGCATGATCTCTCTGAAAAAGTCTGACTGTGAACCCAGCCAATAGGTCTGGTGCAAAGAAATGGACAAAAATCACCAAGGCACAAAGAAAGGTCCAGTGAACCATCTCCATGCTCAACTTCCAAACACTGTGGTCAGATACTTCTTTTGGCTTATTTTGGATTTCAAGTTTAACTGTGGTCAGATGGTTAACAGTCTTACTTTGTGTTTGGAACACCCCACATCCAAATATTGGCCAGAGGCTAGTTATCTCACATGTTTTATTATGTTTGTGTCAATGTGAGCAAACTTAAAAAAATATCTTAAGGTTGGTCCACTGACAAGCAACATAAATTCAGATAACTGACCAATTGTTACCCACACAGTCTGCGCAGGAACAGGACATCACTGACCATCTAACTCCACCCACCATTCCCACCCTGTCCAGGCTGCAAATGATGACAGCTCTGTTTATAAACATAGCATGTGAGCACAACACTCATCTACTGCTGATGATGGAGACAGACAATCTGCCATGAGAACTTAAAATCATATACACCTGTATTCATATAGAGATAGTATTATAGTAAGGAAGAAAAATTCCAGTAAGTACTCCTTTTTAGCATCCTGATGAAGTTCTGCACTTCTTTCAGTTTTCTTCTTATTTAATTGTATGTAGCAGAATCTGTACAGAGACACATTAAACAAGGTCATTATGCTGCTGCTGCTCATTGAACATCTGAGGTAAAGTTGTCCCAGTGCTTAACTAATTAAGTACTAAATGTATGGGGGAGTGGATATATAAATCCACATCTTCTTGACCTCAGTACTAGTTGGAGGTTAGTAGTCAGCTTCACATTCCCGGCCACTTCACCCCCGGGGAAAGAGCCCCAGGTACCCATTGGATAGGAGGCTGGATGGGTCTCAGAGCCAGTCTGGATGATGGGAAGAGAGATAATTCCTGACCCTACCGGGTCTCAAACTCCGATCCCTCAGTCGGCCAACCCGTGGCCAGTCACTATGCTGATTATGCTAATCCAGCTCTCACTCGTTGAACATCTTATGGTGTTAAAATTTCTAAATCTTGAACAAAATCTCTTGATGTGAATGAAGAAAAAATTAGGAAATACTTTATCAGCAGTGTTCAAATGGAATATGTATATGGTAAATGTCACTGATAACGAAACTGCCAGTCCAGGCTGACTTGCAAAAACATTAATTTCATATTCTTTATGAAAACAAGTTTAGTCAAGTGTGGTGTAAGGAACAAGAGAAATTATTAAAATAAAGGTATATAAGATATTATAGAGAAATATTGTTAAAGCCATTTGAACTTCTGATGAAGACAGAAGTACACTGCATCCCTGAGCAGTGTAAAATACACTTGATGATGCAAATGCAATTTGCATCACCAAAATTTCTTTCATTAAGATTCACTTTAGTATTGTCCTTCCATCTCCTCCTCAAGCTTCAGTAGTTCAATTTCCAAGTGATTTCTGCACCAAATTACATTCTTTCCACTCCTCTATGTTGCTACTTACAAACTGTGTTTCTCCATCAGAGCCAATTGTAGCTGATGCAGCAGTTCCCCACACCATAACAACATGCTGAACTGAAGACAGCACTTGATAGCAGTTACATAAAGCTTTCTTAAGTGATTGGGAAAATTTTATCTCCTTGTGTCAACTACTCTCATCAGAAATAAAATAAAGGATTGCCATCTTGCAAAGATAAGAGGAATAATTTTATATTACAGTAGTAAAACCACTGAATACAGTATTACATAATTAAAATTAACTTCGCCATACACGATTCTGCAATATATATTTGCCGCCTGCTGGGGTTCCTTCAGTAGTTTCATTGCTTTAATACACAATTGGCAATGCAGCAGTGATGTCAAATATTAAATTAAAGTTTTTCTTGTTTGGCTCTGTGCATTAATCAACCAAGGAAAATAATTTGACTGGTTTAGCATGACATCTGTAACTGTATTTAATCTTAAGGACAAATTACGATTTCGTGGGTCCAGTTTCAGCTTATAAAATACCAGGTTTCATCATATTAACATAAAAAGTAAAGCTATCCCTGTAACAGGCCATGGAGGCCCATGGGATTGTTAGATGTCGAAGCTCTCACATTTTCTAGACAATCGACAGATGATGGTGACAGACGTCACCCTTATGCGCCAGCCACCCTTTAACACCCAGGAAGATTCCTGGTACTCATTTCTGTTAGAAGCGGAGTTGACCCCAGGGCTGTAGTGTGGCTGGAAGGACTAGATAAATGGAAAAAAAAAAACACCTCATCGAGACTCAAAATCACGACCTTTCATCTTGTAGCATAGTGCCTCAACCAACTACGCTACTGTGTGCCCCCTCCATAATAACTTGTTTGGAAGAAGGACTGCTTGGCAAAGTGATGAAATTTTTCATACGGCAACAATAATTCTAGTCTAGCACTAGACCACAGACCACCATGCTATGTCATTATACCAGATAGTTTAATGCTTATTATGAAAATAAATGAGTAGCTTCTGAGTGAAGATAAAACTGTTTACGGCAGTTATCTCGTTTTTGCAGTTAATATGTTTAGGAGTAGGTTTTAATATAAAGGCAGATAATAACATACAGAAGTCTAGACTACTGTGTACTGTCAGAGAGTGATGAATAGTGTTATCTAACAGTAAGTGGTTCAAAGTTCTTGAGTTCTTAACTAATATATACAATTTTTGAGCCAGTTTGGTGCAATGGTATCTTTGAGCATCTAACTGGCCACAAGTAAAATCTAAGTCTAGGCATGACAAGTTGATGCATATCTGGGAAACTTTAATACTGTATAATAATCAAGTAATGAGGCCATGATGGAAATGTATATTGCTTCCAACACTAATTATTGAGTTTCATATTAATTTCAGTGCAAATTTTATTTATTTCCACTGAGCTCCATTAGCATATCAAGAATAGACATATACATATATTCCATTTCAGAGTGCACTCAGTTTTCAAATGTGTTCTATATCATTTTACATTTTCCTATATAATATCTTGATGTCATTTACTGTGAACATATCTGTTGTTAACAAAAACAATAAGCAACAGAGATATTGCTTTGTGTAGACACATTTTGTTAAATACATATCATAATAAACAAGGTAGGAAATGCATGTATATTGCAATAATTCTGTAGTGTTTGCCTCCTTTTTCTACTTGTCTCTAAAACCATAAGCCTTGTTGGAAAAAAAAAAGAGTATTGGACATAATACATAATTTTTCTCTACAAATTTTGAGCTGTTAAATATTTAGAGAGTTACACTTGAGATGCGAGCAAAAACACATATAAATGTTCTTGTATAGTATCTGCTATTGCTGTCCAGTTTTAAGAATAATTGGGATATAACCAGGGCTTGAGGTGGGGCAGGATGCGGCGGGATGGCATCCCGGTTCTTTTCTAAATGGCTTAAAAGCATCCCGTTACGTCTTTGACAGTAAATGCAATGTACAATACCTTTGTTGTTGTTGTTGTTGTTGTTGTTGTTGTTGTTGTTGTTGCTGTTGTTATCTGTTTCATGGTTGTACAGGCTACTCCCCTGCGTCGTCTAATTAAATTTTGCTTTCGTGTGGTACTGTTTGAAGCACCCAAGAATGCACAGTCCCATATCACATTTCTCGCACTTCGTCTGAACACGTTTCCTCCTTCCACGTGCAGAACCATCCTGGTTCTATTTTCATTCCACCTCAAGCACTGGATATAACTGCAAATTTTAGTAGAACTCCATATAAATTTTAATTAAAATTCATTCAGTAGTTAGCAAGTTCTTACATGTGGAGAGACAAAAAGATGAACTTGGTGAAATTAGCAGAAACATTTTTGAAGATTCTTGCTGTGAACATGCCAAAGATGTTTAAAGTAAAAGTTACAGATACTGATCCATTTTGCCTTTCATAGGAAGGTACACTACATGACCTTGAAATTGGGTTTAAATGACCAAATCAGATATGTGGTGATGTGTTTAGGTCTTTAAGTGTTCCTGGAAATTGGATATCTTAGTAGCACACAGTAGAATAGTAAGTATTTTATTTTCTGTATTCATTTTTAATGAGAAGCCATCAAAGGTTTCATTACAAATTTCATAACACTTTAGTTGATCAGACAATTCTTACAATGTCTTAGTTTCATTTCTTATAGAGTAAGGTTGAGTAGACCAATACACACACACTAAAATTACTAAATCTGCTTAGGTTTAATGTCAGCTAGCCATTCCACATTTCTTAGATAGCAGTGAAATTGTGCAGGATATGAAATTACAGGTAGCTAAATAAAGAAGATACCACAATTTTTTGTTCATCTATGCACTGAATGCACATAATAATTTTTCATCCTACTACTTACACAGTTTATGTTTTTTTTTTTCTCATTTTAGAAATTCCATTAAATCACTCATTGAAGTTACAGTAGTTAAATAGCATAGGACATTTCAGAAAATCTGTAAACTGTACCATTACCTTAAAGATACATATTTCATAAACAATAAATCTTTAATTACCAGTATTAGTAGTTACCAGGTAACTACTATTCCTCTGCTTTTGTGCACAAGTCTTCTCTAAATTTCAGCTTCCTTCTGACTGAACTTAGTCTTCACTTCGTCCCACTTATAATTCCTTGGTATGGACCACCGTAGAAAACACCGTTTTCAACAGTACCTCTGTTGTGTGTTGATTCATTGCCGTGGAGATGTTGCATAAATCATCTTGCGCCTAGGTCCATTTTTTTCATTCCTGCATTCTGGTTGCGCCTGATGTCCCTTCCAGAACGTTTGTCCTTTAGGGGCTCCTCTTGCAATATTTTCTCTGCCTGGTGCAGGAATGTCCCACTGGTCATTACTATGCGTTCGGAGGTCAACAACTTTCGGGACCCCCCTTGCCCTAGGTCCTTTTCTCCGGCTGTCAGCAGGGTCCTACGGCTTGATGCCAATCCCCATACTGCTCTGCAAGTTTTCCCTGAGGACTCCTCTTTAGGGACCTTCTCATGCACCTCTACAGACTCTATTTCCACTGAGGTTGACTCCTTGCTCTCCAGATAGAGTTCCTGCTCTTCTAGGTAGGCCTTCATCTCTTTTCGATTGGTAACTGCCTTGGCCTTCATCATTTTTAGACAAGCCACTGTCGCTTCTTGGTAGGCCGTTTTCTTTTTTCGCCAGCATACACGTTGGCTCCTACTCTTTCCTGACGGGCATCCATCTATGCTATTATTTCTTCCTGAATGGCCTTTGACCTGGCTTGGTGGATATGCATCTGGGAGATGAGAGTACATTGAATGACTTCAAAATTCACATTATTGGTCTTTATTTCAGCTTCGATTTTGGCTTCAAGCCTCAACATCAATACTTCATTCATTTCCTTTAGAGCTGCGTCCACCTTCGCCTGGTTGGTTCTTACTTCTTTTTTCATTTTCTTTAGATTTGCGTCTGTCTTGGCTTCCACCAGGGAGGTTAAAAAGACCTGAGTTTCAATTATTTCTTGCATTGCTTTCAGGAGTTCTGATATTTGTTCCATTTTTGTGGGCTGATAAACAATGCTCCAGTGCAGTTTCAAATCCAACCACTTCTGATGCCAGTTTACATGTGTATGAGTGACTCTTGACGGGGTTTTGAATTCAATATTGGATTTATTGACCACTTTAACACACAACTTGTAATTACATTTAACTATAGTGTCAATGCTAATTTCCACACTTTACAGATCATTAGAACGCATGCTAAGTCTTTTCCAGCCTTCAGTGTCTTCACTGGTTATTGCCTGGTAATTGCTGAAGCAATGGCTATTCCTATGCTTCCATGCTCAAGTCCTCTCTGAATGACATCTCTCTTCCAACTGAAATCAGTTGGTCTATTTGGGTGTGTGTCATTTATTATTAGACCAAGAGCATGGAGACATACATACCAAATGGTTGTAATACCTGTATGTATGGATTGTTGAATGATAATAATGATAATGATAATAATGGGACACATAAAAACAAGATAATAATACTGCACCTACATCCCTACAAGTATACAAAATAACACACAAAACACTGATGCTGCAGGAGAAAGACAGCGCATGAGAACACAATGAGTGATGTCCTCTAACAAATGTCTTTTAATAAGCGGGTGAAGAAAAATTAAAATATTAAAATATTTTAATCCGGGGAATAATGCGGCTTAATTTCATTGAAAATACAGTGTAGCAATTTTGTCAAGTTGGACAGTTCCCTGATGATGGTCGGGTATTCATTCATTCATTCATTCATTCATTCATTTGCATTCTGTTAATCCATACAAGGTCAAACCAACCTATGGGATATAGAACCTGTCAAGATACAAATATAATATAAACATAAAATAATGATATATACATACATTCATAACGAGCACAATAAGGACGTAAAGTAAAACACAGTATTGCATAACAGCAGTGTCACAAAACACATTTTGATCAAAGACACAAGCAAAACACAGTATTGCACAACAGTGTCACAAAACACAGTTTGAACAAATACACAAGATAATAGTGAAGACAATGAAACATGAACGAATTAAACTTAACAGTGGGAAGACCTCTCACAACTAATCAAAATGTACAAAGGGCAAGAAATATAAAAAGAACCATATTCATTAGGAAGTTAATTGGTAATCTTCATCAATACTATAGAATGCATGTTCTGTAAGGTAGGTTTTTAATGAAGATTTGAAATGCTTAATATCTTTAGATAGCATTTTAATATTTAATGGTAAGTGGTTATAAATCTTACTTCCAGAAAAGAGTACTCCTTTCTGTACAGATGATAGATTTGTAGAAGGCAAGTGTAAATTGTGGTTGTAACGAGTATTAATATCATGAATATCAGAATTAGATATAAAGCAACTTCTGTTCTTGATGACAAAGACAAGTAGTGAGAATATGTATTGAGACTGAAGTGGCAATATTTGTAATTTTTTAAATAATTCACGGCATGAGTCGTATCTACCTGAACTAGTAATAACTCTTATTATTCTTTTTTGAATTTTAAAAATACTGTCACTGAGATAAGAATTACCCCAGAAGA